AAAAAAAAGGACAGTCGGCGTTGACAGATATTGATGTGGTTAAAGCAACAACAGTGGCGAGGACAAAGGAGAGACGCATTCTTTATGAGGACGTGGTAGGGATCAAATCTCTCTGAAGGAGAGAGTAGGAAGACGCCTTGCTTTTATGCGCTGAGTATTGATCTTCATGCATGCAATGTAGTGATAATTTATCAGATACCTGAAATTTCATTTCGAACACATGACGTCTGCAATGCCAGCAGATCGCCACCTATGATCTACCCTACTAAGGAGCAAGGTCTGTTGGCAATCTTGCATGGAATGAGACACCACCTTCCAAAGCAAGTCCAATGATGGGCCAGCTCGCAAGGACTGACCAGTTTGTTTCTTGGATGACGAAGCTGATAAAGATGCAGGTTCAGAATTAGAGGACAAGTGCACGAAAGGCTTTGAAGGAGGATGAAGATGACGGCGATAGCCATAACGAGGTTGATCATGAGACGGGAAAGGTGCTACAGATAAAGAAGAGAATTCTGACGGCTAGTACAGAGTATTAAAACACATCATGACAGTCCTATTTTCTTAGCACAATATCACCCCTCCTCGACGATATATGACATTGTACAGTAGCAACTCATGATCAGGAAATACAGTGTTAGCAAACTCGTCACCAGTCTTACTATGGAGATGTTGATTAAGTGCTTAGTAGCGTTTAGTGTTGCCGCAAGTCGACGCGGTGTGATGCGGTGCTAGCGAACTCGAACAAGTAAACGATTCGAGTTGTATCGAGTTACACACCAGTGCAACTAGCGAGTTCGGATGTTGTTCGGGAATTAAGTCCACCAATCAACGGGCTCAGATCTATCTCTTTCTGGTTTAGCAAGTCAAATTTATTGGCGCATAAATAGTTATATTTGGCAGAAACAGAATTATATATTTCTACAGTCATGACTCATCATGGCTACAATATCGTGAACGCTTGATGAGAAGGCTCGCTCGCACGGCACGGAGGAAGCCTGTATGGGTAAGATGTCGAGGGCGACTTTGTATGAGAGTGGATATACTCGTTCCGCATCCTAATCACGATTAGCGCCATGTGTGAAAACAATGAGTGCGAGACTTATGGGCATGTACATGGTAGTACAAAACTCATGTGTAAAAAAGTAGAAATTTTTTGATTTTTTATGGACCGACGAAGTAAGTAGGGCAGACATATTGACAAGGTATAACGGCGAGGTGTAAAGCACTGGAGAAGTGCTCAAGATTGCATGAAATACTCGAGCTACAGTCGGCAAGATTATAGAGACTTACAGTAACATTGATAAGATACCAGGGAAGCTTATGGGAAAGTCTTCTCGATATGTCAATCACCAACTCGCAGTGCAACTCGATGTTTACACCGCATGGGGCAGTTGCCACGAGTTGCGTAAATTTCCGAGTCGAGTCGATGCTAACTCGATTCCAACTCAACACCGGCGGCAACACTAGTAGCGTTTAACAAAGCTTAAATCGCGTGGGAGGCGTTTGAAATCTGCCACATGTCAGTCGCGTTGCTTTGGGTAATCGTACAGCGGTCGACAACACAATGTTCTTCATTCATCGTACAAAGTCCTGTACGATACGCCTCTCAAACATCATATAATTGTGCATCGAGCAGCAGTACCGAACATTGATACATCCAACTGTGACAACAAATGTTCGTCGATCAAGAAGAACACTATTTGTATGACAAACTTCGAGTAAGCGGCGTGACTCGGACGTGGAATCTTGCCTCTCTCGTTTGCGCATGTGCCAGAGATTCATGACGGGTTTACGTGGACGGTGTATTATGCTCGGAGTTCGATCGTGGAGGATGTCATTCGTTTTGTGGTCGAGGACTTGGGTCTTACTAAGAGCTTGCCAATGGCTAGGGGAGGTAACCTTGAATATACCATTCAGGATGGCGGTGAGGCTGATGTGTTTTTTTCTAATGTAATGTACTGAGGGAGCAACAGTCAGTACTTATGTACATGCGCTAAGGTGAGTAATTGTTAAGTTGCATCTTCTGATTATCGTCGAACCCTCACGTCGGCCTGCTGTAGACACGTGTTATTCCGCATACGATTTGGCAACTTCTTCAGTGCTTCTTTCAGGAGTTTTCTTTAACATCGATATATTAGTCCAGCCAATCAATATTCAATAACGGATGCTTCGAAACACATGTTCGGCAGCTGCCTGTTCACCCTGCGTACCATCCACCACCTTCCTTGTTACGCCGACCAAGAACCTTTTCAAGACTAACACTCGACCTTCTATCCAACTTACTCGATGAGTGAAGACGGTCCTCCTTGGAAGAAGCGTTGGGAGTTACTAACGCAAAGTCGTTCAAACCCTCATTTGGCAGAGGAGAGAGGCCAGAAGGCAGTCAGTGGTGTATGGATTCTCACCATTACAGCTACGCCATTGCATATTTCTAATTATGATCACAGCCTTCCTCTCTCCCGCCTTCGATGAATGAATCTCGCAGAGGATTATCGAGGTTGATTCCCAAGTACTTGGGCAAGGTGACCAAGCGCTTCGCTCGACAGTCTCCCAACCCTGAACCCACGGCTGCAAGTTCCAGTGCACAAGATCGCCTACACCCTCAGAAAAGCCAGGTATATACAATTCTTGGTACGTTCCATGTGTGATCTAACTAGTAACGGCCGCAGGATCTTCCACCACCCACTATCACTCCCGAACTAAATCCTGACCAGTCTTCCGATGTGGGCGTTGCAAACATAAGTTTGACTATTACAGTTCGTAATATTCTTATCTCTCTTTCGATCATGCACTAAATCCTCTCGTCAGTCCGAACAACCTGACCCGAAGGTTGTCAAGGAAAAGCTCGTGAATGCCAAGTCGGATCTCGACGGAATCAAACATGTCTCAGGCATGGTGAAAAATACTGCTTCAGCACCCGACAACCTACAATCTGTTTCCGATACGATTGACACGTTCTCCCCGATTCTCGCACCATTAAGAGTGTTTAACACTATCGCTACAACGCTTGCAGATGTACGGGCGTCTATGTCAATTTTGTACATGACTGATCTTTGTGCGTAGGTCCATCCCTACGCGAAGGTGGCATTGAGTATCTTCACCTTCGCGTCTAAGGTGTGTTCGATTATATATTCTTACACTTTGCAGGTCAATAAAAGTGTATGGACGATAGATGATTCTCGATCAGGCGAACCGGGATGATGCAATGTCCCGTCTTCTTTCGAAGATCTCGGAAGTCTATGCTTTATTAACGGCGCGTGAGGGATTGACTAGGATTACATCCATGCTAGAGATATATGGAAAGATTGCGCGACAGACGCTGGAGTGTGCTGACTTTGTGGTCCATTACTCGGAAATGAAGAGTTTTTGTGAGTCTTTTCCACCACAATGTCACCCAAGACTGAGTATCTATTTACAGGGCGAAGACTCGGCAAGCACATCTTCAACGAAACAGAGGCCGCAATCCAACGTCATAACGAGGTTCTCGACAATCTCATACAACAGTTTCGAGACCAAATGGCTCTTACCACCATGGAAACTGTTCACCGCATCGGTACGATTAGTTTCAAGTCCACCTTCTCTGAAATTTAATGCCTACGATTCAGCTGAGGACCTGGACGTTAGTGGCATGGAATACATACCTGGTGCTGGAAGAAATACCTCCAAGAATTGCCTCCCAGGCACTCGGGAAGACATTCTATCTGAGATCAAATGCTGGGTCCGTAGCATGAGCGAAGACGTGCCACGCATCTTATGGCTGTCTGGCACGGCAGAGAAAGGCAAATCAGCCATCGCCCATACCATAGCCAACTGGTCTCACGAGCGCGGGGGAATGCGAGCTTGTTTTTGCTTCGACCGCACAAGGGAAGCCGAACGCCGCCACGAAAAGATATTCACCACAATCGCACGCGACTTGGCTGATTGCGATATCACCATGCGAGGAGCATTGGCGCGTGCGGTTCATGACGATAATGAGCTTAAACACACTGTAGACATCTCAAGACAATGGCAGGAGTTAGTCATAGGACCAATTAGCGAGGCCTCGAAAGCCACCACTGCGCCTATCCTACTAGTTATCGATGCGTTGGATGAGAGCGGTGATGCGAATACCCGAGAACAGATTCTTCGTCTGCTGTCCGGAAAGGCGGACGCTTCTTCCTCTCAACCCGCCGAGCTACCAGCAAATATCCGTATCATCATCATTTCCCGCCCACTCCAAGATATTCGCGATACCCTGGGTGCATCGCATGTCCGCCATATATCCATGGATGATATCTCGCCTGCGTCCACACATAATGACATCCAGTTATACATTTCCACCAGGCTTGCAGGGCTGGGCAACTTATTCAACAATGCACATTTCAAGGTGCTTGCTGAGAAATCTGACGGCCTATTTGAATGGGCTCGTCTCGCCTGTGAGTACATCAAGAGCACGAACAGGGTTGGCCTAGGTCCGGTGGACCGGCTCGACGCTGTGGTTGCTGGAACGTCTGAGAAAGGAACACGTCTGTTGGATATTATGTATGCACGCATCTTGGAAGAAATCATGCCGAAGGACGAGCGCAGGGAAGCTATCCCAGTGTTTTGCTCAGTGATGGGGCAAATTATTGCTTCATTAGAACCACTTCCCATGCCTGCGTTGGCAACTATGCGAATACATTTCCCTGATGGTCGTAACCGGTACAATGTACAAAATGTCGTTGTATCCCTAGGTTCGCTTGTCACTGGTATAACGGATCCTCAGACTCCCATACACCCCCTCCACGCATCCTTCTATGACTTCCTCACAGACGAATCGCGGAGCCATGACTTCTTCGTCAATACATCAGTGGTACGAAGAGATCTTTCTTTTGCCTCGCTTCGGGTCATGGACTCGGAGCGCGGGCTTCGTTTCAACATCTGCTCCCTGGAGAATTCGTACTTGCCCAACTCTTCTGTCCCCGATTTAGAGAAACGAGTCAAAGAATCCATTCCGGCTGAGCTATCATACTCATGTCGGTTTTGGGGAACTCATGTCAGCACTACATCCTATCGCTTCTTGGACCTACACCAAGTGGCACCCCAGCAAGGACCCCGAAAAAACCGGACCTCAACATCGCGCTCAACAGCGCGACCGCCGCCTCTAGGCGTCAACACTCAACCTTTCTCTTTCTTTTTCTCAGAATTATAGTATATCTAACATTCTCAACATCTAATAGTACACAATCTAAACTACCAAGAGTCGAACAATGGCGCTAGGCGGCACCCAAAGTCCTAGTGCAGTCGTTCCCACGGTAGGACCGTCAACCAGAAACAGCCGCAAAACCACAGCCAGCAAACCCCTGTTGTCAACAAGCAAGAGCATCGAAGACCACGCAACAGGAATGGGAATCCGCACCGACATCAATAGCTCCATCACGGCTAGGAAACTTCTCGCCACGCACGGTCTCTCACTCCCGGTAGCAGGCAAAGCCATCAAGGATATAGCGACGGCCCTCTTTGAACTTAGTATCGCAACAAACATTGGTGCTACTAATACAGAAATACTCAGAGCCGTCGCCTTCATCCTCTACGAAGCAGACCAAGCAAGCGACATGGAAAGGGTAATAGACAAAATTGATTCGCTACTGAAAGGCCCAATCGCAACACTAGAAATCAATGTTGACACCCTATCGGAGCTAACATCAACTCACAAAACAACGCTCGCAGAAGCTGTTACCGAGGTACGTGAACAACTCAATCAATCATCAGAAGGAATAGAGAAAATGGTAGAAGCCGCCTCAACGAGAGCGAGCCAACAGAGTCTGTATGGGGAGGAGCCCCCAAGATCTAACGGATCAATGACTTACGCTGCAGCCACCAAAGCGGGGATGCCCGCGCAACTGAACAAAATTCTAGCCCGCAGCGAAGCCCAATCAAGACAAATCCTTATAGATAGAAGATCGCTGCTCTCCGACAACTCCCTCAAACAGCTAACGGAAGCGCAACTGGTATCAAAAGCGACCATGGCACTGGAACTCCTGGCACAGAACAAGATAGAATACCCGCAGGACCTCACGTTCATCTCAGCAAGAAGACTCCCCCACGGCGGAGTATTGTACGAACTTAACTCCAGCGCATCGGCAGAATGGTTCAATACCCCGGCCAATCGCAGTAACTTCCTTGAGTTCTTCGGCACCAATGTTGTCATTAAAGAACGATCCTTCCATGTATTAATGGAAAACGTCCCGATCTCCTTCGTCCCGGACAATACAGCAGCACTAGCAGATATAGAGAAAAAAGCAGGCCTAAAGCCGCGCACAGTCAGCAAGGCTAAGTACATTAAACCAATCGCAAGAAGGAACCCGAATCAACGCACAGCACATGTAGTGGTCACTTTCTCCACCAAGGAAGGAGCGAACCACGCAATCAAATTCGGTCTATCCATAGCGGGAAAGAAGGTCTATGGACGCAAACTCCTGCCGGAACCCACTAGATGTCTTAAATGTCATTCCTTTGACGGTTCGCACATAGCAGCTGACTGCCCTCAAGACCACGACACCTGTGGCACCTGCGGGGAACACCATCGCACCCATACATGCACTGTGGAAGATCCATCACTCTATGCCTGTGTCAACTGTAAGGAGAACGGGCACGCATCCTGGAGCAGAGAATGCCCGACCTTCGCCCAGAAATGGAACGCCCAAAAGGGGAGGAACGACGAAACCAAGTATACCTTTTTCCCCACTGACGACCCATTAACTTGGGAAACCATTCCAAATGCAGATACCGACTGGTCGGACGTCCCAGCGCCGGTCCTCAACGAGCGCCCCCACCCCACACTGCAAGGAGACAGACACCCCCCACCACAGCGTAACAATTGGGAGTGGCAAGAAGTCGGTAACAGCAACCGCAACCGACGCATGGCCTTTGAAAACAACCCCCGCAATCCTAACAATGTTCCTTTAGGTCCCAAGGGGCAATCCCGCTTGCCAGATGCATGGTCCAGTCAACCTCAGAACACCCAACCGACACAGGCCCCCCAACCGAACTCACAAAGCTCACCGAGATCTTGGTCCCCAACGCCGCCGCCCCAGGATCTGTCTTACTCAGGTAGTACTAACGACACTCCTGGTTGGAACTAATGTCTAGTACACCTAACAACAACCACGCGCGAGATGACTTCAAGATCTGGCAACAAAACTTACGCAAGTCCCTCAACGCGTGGGAACATATGTTAAGAAGTCTCGACCCGGAAGTATATGATTTAGCTTGCATCCAAGAACCGTATCTCAACCCTGTCAACCTTGCTAACGCGTCCAACCTCAGGATGTTCTGGGATGTAATATACCCCACAGATCACCACTCTACTCCCGGACGATCCCAGGTGATCATGCTTGTAAATAAGCGCCTCTCCAAAAATAATTGGCATATAATCCCGGTCAAGTCTTCGAACGTCATGGCAATAGAACTGGATGGCCCATTCGGAAAAGTACGTGTATATAATATCTACAATCCCTGCGACAGTGATCACACTCTCCACTTTCTCGAGAGACACATGTCCTCAGAACATAATGCGAGACGTGCCGCTCAAGGCGGCACCGGAAACGCGCGAGAACATATATTATGGCTAGGTGACTTTAACCGCCATCACCCTATGTGGGAACTCCCCCACAATAGTCATCTTTTCACCGCAGCAAATCTTAACGCTGCGGGACTGCTAATAAACTTACTAGCCGTATATAACATGACACAGGTACTTCCCCCAGCTATCGCCACTTTAGAGGCGTCAAACACCAAAAATCACACAAGGCCAGATAATGTATTTTGCTCAGCGGGACTCAAAGACAAGTTCACGCAATGCAGTGTAGAATTTCACCTCCGACCCGTTATAACTGATCATTTCCCCATAATTAGTGTCCTAGACCTTCAACCAGAGCGCACCCTGAACTCTCCTCGACTCAATTACCGCCAAGTATCATGGGAGGACTTCTCGGAAACTCTCACCAGCCAGCTCAACGCCATCCCACCACCAGTGGAGATCATATCAGAAAACCAATTCAACGACGCTTTCCTTGCACTCACCAAAGCAATCGAAGAAACGGTCAGAAGGCGAGTTCCCAGAACGAAACCATCGCCATATGCGAAACGTTGGTGGTCGAAAGACTTGGACTTAGAACGCAAAGCGGTCCACAAGTTAGGACGCAAATCACACGCCAGACAAGCAAGTAGAAGAGACCCCATCCATGAAGAATACAGAGTCGCCAGGAACCAATTCACGGAAAGTATTAAGAAAGCAAAGGAGGATCATTGGAAGGATTGGTTGGAAGCACTAACACTCTCAGACGTATGGTCATTCCACAGATACGCAGCGGGCAACCCAACTGACCAGATCCACACCCGCATCAAGACGCTCCAGGACCCCGGAGCAGCTCCAGGCACTACAACTCAAGATAACGCAAGAAAAAGCGAATTATTATATAATGTATTCTTTCAGCCCCCTCCGGACAACGACTTCGTCGACCCGGACTTTGTTTATCCTCCTCCCGTATGCGAATTCTCACCAATCACTGACCAACAGATTTTCAGAGCAATAAAACGCCTATCCCCGCACAAGGCACCGGGGCTGAATGGTATCAGCAACATCGTGTTCATGAAGTGCGCCGAACTCTTAGTACCATTCATGGCTCCAATATTCCGAGCAACATTCGCATTAGGTACCTACCCGGAAGACTGGAAGCGCTCCACCACTATAGTCCTCCGCAAACCTGGCCGCCCAGACTACAGCGCCCCCAAAGCCTACCGCCCAATCACGCTACTAGATACAATGGCTAAGATCTTATCTTCTTGCGTGGCAGACGACTTAACATATATTGCAGAACATCACGGACTCCTCCCCGCAACACATTTCGGAGGAAGACCAGGACGCTCGACCACTGACTCACTCCACCTTCTCACCAAGTTCATTACCGACGCATGGGCGTCCAAAAACAAGTACGTGTCAGTTTTATTCTTAGATGTAAAAGCTGCCTTCCCCAGTGTGGTGGTCAACAGACTATTACACAACTTACGAAAGACAGGGATCCCCAAGGAGTACACAGATTGGTACAACAAACGGCTGGAAAACCGCAAGACCCTGCTCGTATTCGACGACTACCAGTCAACCTCGTTCAACGTGACCGGAGGAGTTGACCAAGGGTGTCCCTTGTCCCCGTTAGGGTTCATCTTTTACAATGCTGACGTCTTACGAGTAGCGGACCCAAACCCTCGTAGAGGGGAGCTAAGTCTAGGCTTCATAGATGATGTAGCCCTTGCAGCAACAGGAGGCTCCTACGAGGAGGCGAATGGAAAATTGGTAAATATGATGGAAAAGAACGGCGGCGCTCTGGATTGGAGCAGGGAACATAACGCAGAATTCGAACTGGACAAAACCGCCCTTATTTGCCTATCGAAACAACGAGTCCCCAGCGCAACAGACCCCCGTAAGACCACAGCCGCTCCTCGCCCACCTATAACTATCCAAGACCACACTATCCAGCCCTCGCAGTCACATAAGTTTCTCGGAGTGATCTTCGATCAAAACCTCAAGTTCAAAGAGCACGCTTCCTACGCGCTCGCAAAAGGAACCGCTTACACCTTAGCATGTGGCCGCATGATCCGCCCGACAAAGGGTATCCATGGTAGACTAATGAAAAGATTATATGAAGGTGTAGTGATCCCGAAAATGCTATACGCAGCTGATATCTGGTGCGCAGGTCTTATCGCAAGAGGAAGGGGGAAACAGGGAGGAGGCAGAGGCGCAAGAGGTTTCTCCTCCCAGATGGCACGTGTTCAACGCATGGCTACCCTGCTCATCACAGGGGGGCTGCGCTCTTCCGCAACAGACCTGCTCGACGCCCACGCCAACATCCTACCTCTACAACAGACACTACGCAAGGTCTGTTACCGTACTACTCTCAGACTGTCCACGCTGCCAGTAACGCACCCTCTAGCTAAAAATATCAAAACCGTGTACAACTTCTGCGAAAAGAGAGGGTTCACGGGACGCAAAAGACACCCATCCCCGCTACACAAGCTTTTCAACGAATTCAAGTTGAATCCGGACAGGATGGAGAAGATCTCACCCGTTCGCCATTACCCCAAGTGGGAATCGGACACCACCATCAGTATCGCGGGGAAAGCAAAGGACGCCCTCGCAGAAGAAGCGGAGGCAAAGGAAGATCTAAGGGCCTACTCAGACGGGTCCGCCGTAGACGGTGGAGTAGGAGGAGCTGCGGTATTAATGAGAGGGGCAGAAAAGGTGGGGGAGAAAAGATTCTACCTAGGGAAGGACACGGAACATACGGTGTACGAGGCAGAGGTGGTTGGAATGATCTTAGCAATCGAGTTGTTGAAAGAGGCAGGAGGGAAAGGCACCATGGCCCTGGGGGTCGATAACCAAGCAGCGATAAGGGCTACGAACGCATTTCACTCCCAACCGGGGCACTATTTAGTCGACGCATTCCATGA